TTCGCACAAAACAAACGAACGAAAAAAAAAATTTTTTTTCTCATTTTTTTTCTCATTTTTTTTTTCATACGAATAAAATAAATCCTTAAAATAAATACATAAATAACATAAATTGATTTAAAATATTTTTCGCGCCAAAATTTTCTTTTTTTCTATCAAATTCGAATTTTGATTCCAAAAAAAAAAAAAAAATTTCAATTCGTACGAGAAAACGAATAAATTTACAAAAAAAAATAGAAAAATATGTCTTACCGACGTCAGCCATTTTGTTTTATCAAATCGATAAATTAAAAAAAAAAAAATGTCAGGTTCAAAACCTTAGAATTTATTATTATTATTATTATTATATCGCGACACGTGTCAATGTTCGTAAATGAAAACGATGATTAAAAATCGATAAAACAATTATCGAATTTTCAGGTACGTTCACAACAAAAACGAGAAAAAAAATTTTTTTTTTTTTTCGGTATGTTTTTTAAAAACAATTGTTTTTTTTTTGTTCGTTTGGCAACCTTGATCTACAAAGAAAAAAAACACCTTTTGAATTACCAAGGTTGTAACAAACAAAAACGTTTTTTTTTTTTCAGGTTTTTTTTTATTAAATTTATCGGAAGGATAAAAAATGAGAAATAAAAATTCGCGGGAAAATTTTTTTAAATTTAATGATTTGATTGAATGACGTCATCATTTTAAGCACCTTAAAAACAAAATTTTTTTTTTTCACCTCAAAAAGTTTTTACTTCAAATCCGACCAATAAAAACCGATTAAACTTTAATAATTTGCCCCCCCCCCTTTTTCCTTCTCTCTCTCTCCCCGCCACCTTGTTCTCTTACACTTTCTCGTGCCACGCCTAATTATAAAAATTATAAAAGTTTTGTAAAAACAAAAAAAAAAAAAAAAATTTTTGGCCAAAATAAATAAAAAAAAAAAAAAAACGAAGGAACTTTTATTTTTTGTCTTGAGGATAGAAAATTTCGAAAAACTTTTTTTTTTAAATTTAAAACAAGAAAGAAAATTTAGGCATTAAAAAAAAAACTTTTTCCTTATACTACATCATCATCATCATCATCATCACCACCGCCATCACCGTCATTACCATTACTATTATTATTATTAGCGCAATTTAAAAAAAAAAAAAAAAGTTTTTAATTTACGTCAGGGAAAAATTTTTATTTTTTTTTCGTACCCAAATGGCAACGTTGTAAAACAACATTAGGTTTTCTCTCCGAATAGTAAAAATTGATAAATTTAAAAAAAAAAAAAAAAATCTCAGGTTCGTATAAAACTTATTAAATTTTTTTGTTTCCCATCCCCTCCTCTCCCCTTCCCCATACCATTTTCATCCGTCTTAGTTTTCTTCTGCTTATAATCCATCCCACCATTTCCCTTCCTTCTTCCCGTCACAGTCTCTTTTTTCTTTTAACTCCCTTTTCCCCCCCCCTTGCCGGTTTCCTCTCATCCAAACTTTTCCCTTTTTCATTTTTTTTTTTTCCTTTCTTGGCATTTCTCGCGTTTTGTGAACTTTTCGTATTTAATCAATTTA